AGATTGGGAAAAATTAGGAGAATTATCTCCTTAATTAATAATAAATATTAAAATATTTCGAAAAAATTATAATAAAATAAAAAGTAACCCAAAAGTTTAAAAACCATTAAATAACATATAATCTACACATTTATTATTTCTTTTCATATGCTCTTATTGGATAGCAGATTCAAATATGGAAAAAATGCTATAATCATTTTTCATTTCGATCTAACACTAAACAAATACAAAAGAATAAGATTTCTAAAAATGCTTACTAATTGGATATATCATAATTCAAATAATATATTTAAAGTACTCAAACACCCATTCATATTTTTCAATTTTTACAACTATCAGATATAATGTTAATTATTTAAAAAATTAACAAATATAATGAATATCAAGTTTTGATAGGTGTAAACAATTCATAATATTAAACTTGAACTATATTCCGAAATAAGCATAGAATAAAATTCCTTCTTCTTTATCTCCATTTTAATATATAATTTAAATTACTCAAATTGAAGAAAAAAATTAGTGATTTTTAAATAATATATATATTAATCATAAACTTTAAAAAATATGTATAAAATCTTTCTTAAAAATACAAAATCTATAGAAATTATGAATCTTTGGTATTAATATTTTCATAAGATAATTTATAAATAATACTAACACAATTAAATTACTATTACATAATCTTTTTTGGTAAACAATATATATAGCCCTATGTTTTTAGTTTATTGCAAAAGTAACAAAAATGACATTAATGGAAATTATTGTAAAAAATTAATCTAAAATAACTATTGTTATTAAAAACGTAATTTAATAGCTAATGTTATGCTAGAACATTAATTTTGTTTACTTTTATATATCAATATCAATAATAATAAACAAAAAGTTCGATAATTAATTAAATTGTAAAGTATATTTACAAACTATATTAGGTTATTTATAAACTAGAGAATAAAAAGTGTTTGTAATTGATTACTGTTTTTTGTATTTTTTTTATGGATTTTTAGATTTCACGAACTATAAAAAGGAGATTAACTAAAATACAAGTTCAGTTTTAAGAACTTTGTCAAATAGTGATTAATTCAAATTCATATTAAGGTATACTGAATTTATAAATGAAAGATCCTTAGTTTGCATTCAATTATTTATAATTTTAGAATTTAATTATTTTAATAATTATTCATATTATGATTTCTTAAGGTAATGATCATAATTAAGATTTAAATTTTACTGCAAAAGTTATTGTTTATTAATCAAATTTTCTGATAATTCAATTCTGAATTCAAAGTCACGATCACAATCACCACAAATTTCTAAATTTCTATCAGTGTTACATTCAGAAATTGATTCTACTAACTCAGAAATTATGACCATGAAAAAATATATTTTAAATTTTGCAATTATTAACTTTATATTCTATTGGACTATTGCACTCTACTT